ATAGCCAGCGAAACACCTCGCATCTACATGTCCACATCAGGAGCTGTGGATTTCCTGGAAAGAGAGCACAACCGTATTTGTGGTGCTCCAACCGTGCACAACCCATGAATCCTGCTATCCCCCAAGCATGTCCAACACATGGGACAAGAGAACAAGACCTTCCAAACCGAACCGCGCCGCCGCAACCGAACCGCGGCTTCCAAAAGAACACGTCCTCGCAGGCTCAGTTTCATCACGTCTTTGGTTCCCGTCCTCGCCCTCCCAAAAGCTGTAGTTTTCCAGTAGGGCGCTTGGGACCACCCCACGCAGCAAGCGAGGCGAGACATAGTTTTCCCCGAGCTTGTCCAACTCCTAGAGCCGTCACCGGATGGGAGCCCTGAAGCTGCTTCGGCTTCCTTCAGATCATGCCGAGGAACCCTTGCTTTACGGATTTGGCACGACCAGATCAACCGCACCTCTTGATCATGGTCGAACGGAAGGCTAGGGTTTAGAACAAGAGATCACGAAAGGCAAATCTTCCACCTCACCTCTCCTCTCCTTGCACCCCGTTGCAGCGTCAATGAAAACACTTGGAAGAACCCCTTGCTGTATACTAAATGATGCCTGCCAATTGTCAGAGCATCCTGGACGAAGAATATATCAGGACCCGCAAGGTCAATGGACACCCCTTAACCTCTAAGCGGCCATCAATAGAAGCCCCAAACAGGAAATCCTGGTGTGTATTGCAAATGAGTCGCGGGACGATGCAAGCACCATGGGTCACAGGATGTCGCATGTGTGATGTTGTCTGCGGCAGTTGTGCCTTGGGTGGTCGCGCTCGCGTTTAATGACGGGAGTTGGGTGGTTTACGGACACCCCTTGCAGCACAAGTAACCTCTAAAAGGCCAAACAGGGGGCCCCTGGTATAGAATCTAGAATGCTATATTGTTTCACCATGGGCTACCATGGGTGACCTATGGCAGGTCTGACGATGGGTGGAAAATATGACACGGTAAGTCGGCAGCTTCCTCCGCAGTCGCCGCAGTTCTCCGTCCTTGTTGAGCCGCCGGATGCACAAAGACCCTTCCTGCAAGTCAGAGAGTCTGCACCCGACACATAACCGAGAGAGCAGGTAAGTGCTCAGGTGGCATCACCGACCACCACCCGATCCGCAGTGGAGTGAGCAAGTTTTCAGTCCACTAGATATGTAATGAAAGCCTAGTGATGGAGTGATTGGACTGATTGGACTATTCACCCTGAAGAGTTCAGTCTGATAATCCCAGACCCCACCCACAGGTGCATCTCAAAATGAGAACCATTTTTAGGATGTCTGCATGCTGACGGTGGCAATGCTGCTGGAAACTATCTACAGGAACATTTATGTGTCCAATGCTGGAACCGTGTTTTAGGTCTTGACACTTGAACTTCAGCGGCTCTTTGCGGCGCAAAGATCTGTACATGGGATTTGCCGTCCTTCTCGGAAGGACCTGAGGCCGCTCTCTTGCTCTCTGCGTCCCCCCCATTTGGAATGTAAAACGTCTTCAGGTGTTATTACAGTAATCGAGCCTATGCCTATACATGATATATCAGTTGCTTCGCCAAGTCCTTCTACCAGCCGTTTGTCCAAACCCCCTCTACGAAAAAGACCGCACCCAGCAGCTAAAAAAAAGAAACGGTCACCACGCCCAGCCTCCTGTTTCCTATGCTGGTCGGACCTAGGATGGCCTGAGTCATACTGCAGGTTCCTGTGCCACATGTTGTTGACATTGAGTTCTGGTCTTCCAGTTGCCTGAACCATCTCATGATCCGTCCTGCTCTCCTCCCCATGTCACTCCTTTTCTTCCCTCGATCTCAGTTCGAGCTCGCTTTCCAAGCATCGGACCGCATCCGGCCGCCATCTCTCTGCTTACAACTCGACGGAACCCAACCTGGACGCTGGAACCTCCAAAAACCCCACCATCTGTCGGAAGACGCTTCTTTTCGGAAGACGGTGGATCTGACTCGTCTGACTCCACCCCCCTGTTTGGAGGGTTCAAGATCCTGTCTGAAGATCCCCCTGTCGTTCAGCGTGAAAAACCAGATCAACGAGTCAACGAGTCAACCGCTTCGAAAATGGGTCTCGACCCCGTGTGGCTGCTCGAAGCAGGGAGAAGCAGGGAGGGGCCCTTTCAAGCTATGACACCGAGACGGAGAGACGGTCTTCCATCGTCCAGGAGGATTCCTCGCGGCACGGCAGGTTGGTGACGACCCAGACGCAACCCTCTGAGAAGACCAAAGAAAGCCCTGCGGAACATGATCTGGAGGTGGAAATGGGAGGGCGATGGGTCTCAAATTCTTGAAAATTCTGAGAGAGCGTCTGGGAGCGTCTGGGATGAATTTTCGGACCCTAGGCTTCCAACCTTTGATTGATATAGCGCTTTTACCAAACAACCATTGATTGAATAAGGATTTTAAACTCCAAAACCAGGTCAACCTTTCTTCTTAAATGTCTTGGAAGGCTAGGGTGACGTCCTTGACCGAAATTTGCGATAAGGAACCAGTGGCCAGTTCGAAGTGGCATGTGAGACATAAGCTTCGAGAGGCCAGGCTTTCGCCTCGGCCTCAGATGATATGATACCTGCGGGTCCTGCGCTGAAGGATCCAGCGACTTTTTTTTTCAACGCGACTCTTTTTTCAACGAAAGAAGTCCCAAGACGGAACAAGACTGTACACATGCGAAGATGGGCCTCTCAAAAACGTGTCGCGCTGATCAACCTGTTTCCTGTCGAAAGTTGGGCGTGGGTTTACCCACTTCCACTACCGCCTGCTTTCGGATTCGGGATGCCCCAACACTCGACAGTGAAAAGAGGACTATCCGACGATACTCCCGAACCAGGAATAACAAAATGCCCGGAAAATAAACATCGCTCTAAGCAAAACCAGGGAAAACTCGCGTGGACCCGGGTTGGTTTTGGAACCTGGAAGTAGACTGTTTTCCTCTAGCTGCAACCCGTAGTTTTCAGAGTCCATGTTAGTCTGGAGTCCGAAAACTACCCTCTATAAGACATGAGGACTCAGGGCGCCGATCGATCTGGTTTGGTCAGACGCCAAAAGTGGACGGAATCCAAAAAGGGGCTACCATGGTAGGGGACAATTGCCGGTACCTTCTCTAACGCAGGGAATCCATTCTGCATCTGGCGACGAGCAAGTATGCTAATCGGCCTCCTTTTCGCAAGATATGAGACACAGCATATCAATGCATATCAGATATATCAATTCCATTGCAGCATATCACAGGCTGTATCAGGAGGCCGCGTCGTCAAGGCAACAGTCAAGGCAACAGCCTGCGGACACCAAGTCCTCGCATGGAGTTCCACGCATTCTCGAACAGATCCAGTGTCCGAGGTCACAGGTGGCAGCATCCCGTTGAAAGCATGCAAACATCCAAGGAGTTTGGGCGCGGAAGGGGATTGGTAAGCTGTAGGACAAAGCCTCTGGCGTTAGGCAGGAGAGGAGTGGGAGTCATGGCTGTACTGTGCTTGGGGCGACCTTTTCAACATCATGAGGAGCCCGATAGATTGAACCCCACAAAAAAAGCTCTTGGAGGGAGAAACTGCCTTCGCAGACCGACTGGCACGTCCAAAACGCCTCTTCCGTGGCCCAAAACGACTGGTTCCAGCAGGCACCCAAACTGAAAAAGAAGCAGGATGGACTAGGAGGACTCAAGGTAGACCCTACTACCCAGGCCTAGGGCCTAGGACTACCGCAATTCCCACCGGTCAAAAGATGGGTCGGAAGAGGTCCATTGGAATTCTCGTTTTCCATGTGGAACAAGATCTTCGATCGAGCAGGGCGGAGCTCTTCCTCTTTTTCGTCCAGAAAAATGGATCGGTCGAAGCAACGCTCCTCCAACGCACCATGGATGGGGGAGTCGAACCGTGCTCTCGTTTTGAGGGACGTTTCGGGGCTGTGAGAGCATCTGGGATGGGTTCAAGCTGGCTTGGTCATCTAGACAGAGTGGCAATAGTGCAAGTGATAGCTCGTAGGTCTCATAATTTTGACTCTCACTTGCCACATCACCTTTTTTTCAAAGGGATTCTGCAACCCAGATCGCCCCCACCCCTCATGGTCTTGCTTGTCTCTGCAGTACCGCAGAATCGCGGCGATCGCGGGTGGACACCAAATCGTGCGTTGCTTTGGCCTCTGGGTCATTTGACTCTGGGTCAACCTCAGAACCTGCCTATTCCCTGGTGAATGACTAGTAGATTCTTGTTACTAGTAGTAATGGCCTCCAACCTACTAGCGATGGCCTCCAACCTAATAGCGATGGCCTCCAACCTAATAGGGATGCCCTCCAACCTAATAGCGATGGCCTCCAACCTAGTTCTCGTGCTTTGCGGCTTCACTTGAAATGCAAAACAGTTCATTCTGTCTCGGTCCATCTCATGTTATGACCCGCATCGTTGCAAGCAAGGCCAATGAGGCATCGTAGGGTTCTCCGAAAACCTGACACATCTGTTTTGCGGCTTCGACCGGTCGTGGAAATCATGTCCATCTGCGAAAGAAAGCTCTACAAACAGTGGAGATTGTCGGGGTGCTTGTGAGTCCCATCCTTGTTTGACACCGATACCGGCTGATGTTGTCGGGCTTTTAACAGTAGTTGTGGAAGCTCGGAAGCGTTGCCATGTCGGCCTTTTCCTTCAAGGTAGGAGATTCTGGTTTTTAAAGATGCCTGGCAGGCATCGACATTGGATTTAGGGTCAGAATGGGCCAGACTTCATCACCTCTCCTAAAACCACAATATCCAGAAAGGGGGTGTTCATGGGGTCTAGAAACACCTCCTGAAATTGCAGCTCAACTCACTTCAAATTTCCAAATGTATGAGTGCAGAGGGAATCCCTTCATAAAGCATACTCATCTGATATGTGCAGTATGCAGCATACAGTATGCACATCAGACCTTCCAGGGATGTCTTCCGAATGAATCCGCATGACTCCTTTTCAAATGCCCCTGGTGGTCGAGAACTGGTGACCAAAACCTTTGGATCCTCCAATTCCTTCGGATCCCCCGATTGATTCGGGGGCATTTCGAGCGGAATTCCAAGAACGTCGGTTGCCGCCCTGCACCGTATCAGCTCGGCTCAGTGCCGGCGCTCATTGAACCAAGAGGGTCGCCGAGCTGCTCTGCGCAGGCTTGACCTGAGTTCGGAGCTGGCGCAGGCGCCCAAGGGCAACGGTCCGAGAATGCTTTCGTTTCGGCATGCGGAACCGACTCGTTGATGGAGGCGAATTGAGGGTCCAATCCGTACCCAAAGGCGACCATGGACTTCGGTTCAAACTGCTATGTGGCTGCTATGTGCCAAAACATGCCAAAACCTAGTAGAGGGTCCAAAACCCAAAAGCTATGAGGGTCCAATGAGATTTGGAGGATTGTGAGCCGTCCTCGTCATGTGAGGAACCCTCAAAAGGCTGTCCTCAGGCTGTCTTCGTCCGTCCTAGCAAGAACCAAGCAGACGCCCTCGTCGACCGATGCAAAGCGGTGTTTCACAACGTACAGAATTGGAATGAAAGACCAAGTCCTAAGGGTACGGTAACACCCATTACTACAAGGGTATCGCTACTAGTAAAAAGGGCATTACTATTAGTAGTTTCTTGCTACTAGTAGCAAGAAGCTACGAAAGACCAAGTCCTAGGGGGTTCAATCATGACCACCCATTAAATACATTTAAAATACATGTTACATGTCATTCATGTGAAGCTCCAATGCTCGCCAACTGGAGCCACCGGTCCTGGAGCCAACCGGAGAACAGCCGGTTGGCGAAGCTTTTTTTTTCGTTCTCCCCTTCGGACCGTGCGAGAACCCAAACGCCTCCCCATCCAAGGCACCATAGCACGAGCCCTCTCCAGCGCGAGCGCTCCAATCGCGAACGCTCGAGCATGCAACTGGTCCATCGAATCCTTCGTCGCCGCAACTGGGCGTGCCTTCCTGGCACGCGGTGGCCTGGTGCACACGGTGGCCCGGTGGCAGTCCACACAGAGCGAGGACTGTGCATGCGTTCAAGATTCTTGGAATGGAGCGCGAGGATTCTTCACAACCACAAGACAAACCGGGACGCCCCACGGATGGTCCTCCTATAAGATGCAAGTGTGCATTGTTGAGTTGTTCGTCAGCAAGTACAAGCAGTTCCACACAAGTAATTTAGATTCACTCGCCATGTCCAGTTTGCAAGTATGTTTTTGCAATTAATGTCAGTTAATTTCTATTGGCAAGCCCTAGTAAGACTTATTTTAATATAGACTTATAAGATGTCGATCTTCTGGCAGACACTTGAATCATGACAAACACCATCTGGTGACCAGTTTTCCAGAGCCGCCACCGCCACCGCTCCCGGCGCCGCGTGACGCGCCCGGCGCCGCGTGTCGTACCTCCCACGAGCGCCGACCGTGCTCGGGGTGCTCGGGGTGCTGCCGCCTGACTTCGCCTTCCCGACCTCCTCTGTTCGACACGTCGAGGCGTGGACGCGTGGACGGGGAGGTTCTGGCGTCGGTTCTTTGTCCAAAGCGAACGGTGACCTGAGAGAACCAGGTGGAGAAGGCAGGTTCTTCGGTGGCCGAAACGATCGGTTCAGTGAACCAAGCGAACCAAGTGTGCAGAAATTCTGTAGCTCCGGTTCTGTCCCCAAGCCTGTCCCAGCACTCCGGGCGCACCGAGGAACAAGGAAGTCTTCGTGACCTAATTTAGACTCTTGATTTGTAAAACTCACAAATTTAGACTCTTGAATTAGGTTTTTTTATCAAGACGCTTTACAATCCAAATTCAAACGGGGGGGGGTTCTATATAAATGAATCAAAAGTCTGCAGTGCCATCCACTTAGGTCCCCACAGTCGTCTTCCTGCCGTGTCAGGGAACCAATTCCTATCCCGTAACTCCTCCTCGAGAATGCTTGCAATCAGCGCATCATCATTGGAACCACTGCTCACCCTGGAAGTCAGATCCTGGAGAATTCGAACGAACCAGACACCTCTGGGTGTTCTCCTTTTGTGGGAGCCCCTGACCTCTTCTGCAGGGCTTCAGGTGCCTATATGCAATCGTTTTGCCAGCTGACTCAGAGGATGACATGGAGATGTTCCTAAAATGTCAAAGCTGTGACAAGCCGATACAAACCGGCTGCAGCAAATCCCACACAGATCGATCGTGGAGCTTCGCTTTGCCCCGAATCGTAGTCCTTTGGATGGACCTGTAGGATCCCAAATCAAACTCGGCGGACCCGCAAAGGTCACCAAATCCACCCATCTGGGGGGGTTTTCGGGGATCGATTCGATCTCAACTCCAGTTTTTCAAGTCCGTCTACGGGGGCACTCTATGAGCTGTCAAAACCAAACAAGCCTCCAGTAAAAATCTGGTAAACCAGCTCCTTCAGTTCTTGATCCTTTTGAGGCTTCAAATCCGTGACCCTTCAAATGCTGAAGAGTGACCTCCAGGGAGCTCAAAGGCACGACAGGAAGAACCCAGTCTCTTCCACTTCCACCAAACCGCCCTCTGAAGCTATCTAGTCACCTTCCATTCCCTGCTCTCTTGGCCCAGCAGCAAGCTCGGTGTTTGAGGGTGTTGAGGCGAGTTCCACTGTGCCTCCTGAGGTGCCAAAAAAAAACTTCGAGGAGCTCAGTCAGAGGGAAGATACCCCTACCCTCTAGACTACCTACCTAGACTCTTTTTGTGACCTCTATTTCAGACCAGCACACAGAGGTCATGTTTGGGTTCTTTATAGGTAGTCACCCACCTGTAGGTTGGGGCCAGAAACCCACAGGAACCTGAAATGTGGACGTCGCGGAGAAAAGAAGAAACACTCAGAACTCTTTCTTTTGGGATCGTTTGATCGTTCTAATACCTAGTTTTACTACCTTGTTCCAGTCATTCACTAAGGTACCTGGATACTCTTCAAAGAGGCTCTTCTCAGTTCATGCCTCAGATCAATCCATCTATCGCACTCTGAACGCAGAGGTCCAGTAGAACGCAGAACCCTCCGACAGGTCACCCCTGGGAGGCCCCGTTCGCACGCGCCGTTCGCACGCGCCGTTACGCGCCTGGAACGTGCGGTACGCCGTAGGAGCTCAGGAGGTACGCGCGCAGGAGCTCGGTGTTATCACAGGGCCATGGTGGAAGATGGTAGGCGGTCTCGGGGAAGTAGGCCTTCGTGGGCTGAGAGTCCGGCGCCAGGGCGCCCCCTCGCCGTGCTTCGGCGACGTGCTTCGGCGCCGGCGACGTTGACACGGGGGGTCACGGTATCCGGTGGACTCCAGCATGTTCATTCTTGCGTAGGACATATAGGAAGATGACAATTAGAACAGGTCCGAAGTGGTGTGTTTGAGACGTTCCAGAGGTTCTGTCTACTTCAGAATGCTTTAACAAAACATCATCATCATCATCATCATCATCATCATCATCATCATCATCATCATCATCATGATCTTATTATTATTATTGTTATTCTTCATTATCGTCAACATTCAATACCGGCTCAACCAAAATCTTCTACCTTTCCCTACACTCTTGGCTCCTTCGCTTCCTCGTTTTGGAACCTCTGCGCCTCCTCGTCCGTGTCTGGGTAGCCTTCGCTTGAGCCTGGTGTGAAAAACCGGTGAAGACGGCGGTCTTTCGGCGTGAAGAGCAAGCACGGACGCGAATCCCCAACGAACGGAGCGATCGGACGCTACGAACAGCTTAGCAAAAAATGTAATATATCACAGAATCCCAAGGGCCCAAGCTGTTTGTGCCACCATGCCACGCCTTCTTCGAAATCAGCTGCCCGGAAGTCTTGGTGTTTTTTTGGGGTTCTTCCAGCTTCTACGTGAAGGTGTCTTGGAATAGGGAGACCACCGGAGACCACCCAATTCTTCGTTTTTTCGTTGGGTCCTTTCACCTGGAGCTCTGCCTGGGGGTCTCCCTGTTGGATAGGGATCTGCCGGGATTGGACCCGGTCCAATCGAGGCGTTCTTCCATCAAAGAGTCCGTCTCGCACCGGTGGCAGACCAGAGGGTGGCAGGTGGATCCACAGGGAATTCGTGTCTCACTGGACCGTTCGGTCCGTGGCCGTGAATCCATCGGGTTTCCAGTCGACGGAAGTCGCATGCCGATTCCTCGCCTTCCATGGCGGACGTCATCGCGGAACGGGGACTCGAAACAGGCTGCCGGCGATGCTAGGGAGACAGGAGCGCCCACTCGAGCCGAAGTAGAGCACCACTCGGGCCGATCTTCAGGGGCGAGAATAAGAGCAACAAGAACCTAATAGCAATGGCCTCCAAGCGAACAGCGATGGCTCAAGAGGAAGGGGCGATGGCTGGGCGATCTGGGGTGAAGATGCAGAGTGTGACAAAGCATTGACTGCGACTCGTACCCCTTGTTTCCAGGGAATGGCAGGGGCACTTGGATTGCAAATCATGCGTCACTTCCTTGATGGCACCCTGGACGCATCACTTTCTGGAGGTGTTGATTTTATAGACTTTGAGAGTATAGGGGGGTGATCAGGTGCCCCTTCACCATTCCCGAGAGTTCAACAAGAGCCCAAGCGGCCCCCTTCAAGCCCGCACGGTACCTCCCACAATCTGGAGGTACCCATCTCCTTCCCAAGATCCTTCCCGCCGTGTCCTGCCGGCGCATCTCCCCAAACGATCCTGCAGCACCGGGAAGCTTCTGAGCGTCCTGAGCGTCGAATTCAGACGTCAACTCCATGGGACGTCACAGAATCCATCGATCAACAAGGCCAGCTCTGGCCCTTTTCTCGGCCAGTCACCGGGATGAACGGTTCAGTCCGAAGCGGAGATGTAAAACCACAGATGGCAGTCCCCATGAAGTACCTGGGAGAGACCTCGAGTGGCGGAACAAACAATATGCAGGATTCGGGTGTCCAGAACGGGGCCTTTCCACGCGAGGTACGGATCCCATTTAAAGATGTTACGAGTATTATATATATTATATATATTGTGTGTATATGTATACCTGGAACCCAACTGACCCGTGTTTTGATAGGAAAAGGCCATATTTTGGGTGGTTGGTGGTCCAAAATAGAGGTCATTCAGGTTCTAGGTATATATAATCTATATATATATATACACATATTCGACAGAGTTACAAAAACAATGTTATAAGTTATAAATATGATGTAATCATAGCTGGACACGAAAATCAAGGTTGGCTCCAGCACCGCGAAGTCCCGGTGGTTTGACACCCTTGACGATGTATGTTGCATGTATTTTCCCAATCACCACCCAAAATCCGTGGTGCTGGCTCTTATGCATCTGTTTTGGCCCGTTTGGCTTAGGCGAACTGCATGTGGGATCGTGTTGGTGTTTGTCCTTTCTCTCAAGCACTTGGTCTTCGTCAGGAACTGTTCTTCGGCTCAGTGTCTTTCTACTCCAATTCCCTTCGGCGGCCAATTCCGACCTCCCCTCCAGAGCTGTTTCTCGGAGATGGAAAAAACCAACCACTCCAGTTGGAAGAACCGCCGGGCCCCTTGCTCTGGACAGGAGGACGAAGGACGACGCCACAACCAAGGACCGCAACGACACATGTGGCGTGTGCAGAACTTTGTCCAAGTGTCTGGGGTGTCCAAGGGCAGGTTGTGCAGTCCCAAGGAGGACTTCCTGAAGTGTCCGGATCGACGGCTCGGGCTCTATGAAGGCTCTATGTGAGCGAGCCGCTCGAGGCTCGGCTCTCTCTACCAGGCAGAGCCCGGGCTCGTTGGAGGGAGTTCAGAGAAGGATGCTCTTTGCGGGTGTTTCTGGAGGAAAATCAAAGAATCCCTTCTTTGGGGCATTTGCAATGATCCTATGAGCCCGATTGTCCTTCTATCACCGGTGGAGAGGAGACTCCTCGAACTTTCGCAGAAGGAGCTTGCCACTGGGATGAGCCACGAAACACCCCAATGGGAAGAGAACGAACTGTTCAGGTGCCCACTCCCTCAAGTGGTGGAGTCTTCTCGGACGCCGATGGGTTTTCACCCAGCTGCGGTCCTGGCCAGTTCGGCCGGCAGCCCGTTCAGACCGGAGCGAACAGGACGCCCAACCAAGCCGCCTTTCTGCCCAACAACGGAAAATACATCCGACTTCATCACACCTGGTGTTCACACCCATCCATGAGGGATTGCAAAAAAAGTCAATTCTACTTCAAACAGAGACCTATTCTTGTCAGCCCAAGAAAAGCTGAAGAGTTCTACCCCTCAAATCCTCATTTTGTTACCTCTCCCAGCATCTGGTCCTTGACTCATTGACTGATCTCTATAGGCCTTAATTAGGGGTCTTTCTTTCTTGGATTTCACATGAACAATCCTTCCCGTCGAATTCGGCGAGACGTTCCAATCCAGGAGACGAAGTGAAGACCAGAGACCGATAGAAGCGACGACCATGGGGCACCTCAACGTGTGGGGGGCAGAACGTGGAACACGCCCGCGTCCGAGTAGGGCCGGTACAGGGCCAAAACCACCCCCCCGCACTCAGATACTCGCAATACCATCGTCCGGTCTGCCATCGCCCATTGGTTAAGACATCACACAGCCTCCGACCGATCCAGCAGTGGATCGGATCCGGACACCCCGGCAGCCCTGCCGTGGTTGGAAGCCACGTTCCCAAGGACCATGCTGGAGGTGTGCAGGGATTTGGTCTGAAAGTCCTGGCCAACCATCTAGTGTTAATGGTCTTTAACACAAAAAAAACGTGTTTACTAAGGATTTTAGACTACAAGACCAAGTCCACCAATCTTTGAAGGCTAGGGTATCCAAGATTTACCATCCCCAAACTACTGTTGATACAAGAAATCTGTCGGCCATGGACCACTTCCGCCGGTTTCTCTGATCCCGTTGATTCGGCCCAAGCCCTTCCCATGGTCGATCCTTGAGGGGTTGTTCTACCCCACCAGAAGCGAGTCTACCCTTGCGCAAGTCCATACTCGACATACTCCAAGTCCAGTTCGACATACTCTTTTAGGGAACCCACGGAACGGCCGATTTCGGGGGTTCCCTTGATCCAAGCCAGCAAATGTAGTGCAAGTGTCAGGCTGGACCTCTAGTCGGGCTAAGCATGGCTCTTCAAGTCGTGACCGAACTTGATTTCCTGGTTTCAGGTCATTTAAGCCTCCAAGGGTCACTTAACCCTCAAAGGGTCACCTTGAAGAAGCTTGATCTTTCTTGGCTCAGGTCCATGCCACCAGTGCACCGCTTTCTGCAAAAGAAGAGGAAGGGAACCATCACCAGATATCATCAGGGCCGTTCTGGACTTTGGACTTTTGGACTCTGTAGATGCCTCTCAGAACTTCAGTGTTCCGATGCTTCTTGTGTTCCGAAGCTCGCTCCATCTGCTTCAGGGCTCGGTTCGCAAAGCCCTGGTTGATGGACTCAGGATCTCTTTCAGCATTCCTGTGCCTTTCAGCATTCCTGTGCCACTGCGACGTGAACAGCAGACCCGACCTGAAAAAGGCCCATATGGACCGGCCCATATGGTGCCAGGCTGCCAGGGCTACTAGACAATGATCAAGTCATGAGACCTCTTTCTTACCCCAGCCTGGCTGGCCATACTTCTACCCACCATCTGAAATCTGCACAAATGCATCAACCACTAGGAGGGTCTTTCCAAGTTAGATCACAAAACCCCCACCTACAGATCCCCCAACGAGGCCATCCCGTGCCAGGCGCGCGGTACAAGAGACACCCGCTCCAAGCCGAACTTCGATCCACCCGAACACTTCACGGCCGAAGAAGACCCAGATCCCCCCAGCGCGTGGGACGCGTGGCCAACGGCGCACGAGTGTTCGGAGCACTTCGGCCCAGGGCGCCAAGTTGAAGACCAAGACCACTTCGTGGGTCTTGGAGACCAAGACTTCCTCCGCTCGGCGGTAGAAGGCGGAGGCTTCTCCGAGGCGAACCCTTGCGGGAGAAGGGTGGAACACCATGGTCGGAGCTCCCAAGCTAGAGGAAAGCACTCTTCCAAGGTGCCGTTCCCGGGTTTGGATGGTGGTTGGTTCCTCCACATTGTGCAGGTCAGGTGCGTAGTTATATATATATACTGTATATATATATATAATTGTGTTCACGATGTCACTTTTCTTTCACCCAACCCTGGCCCAACCCTTCAAATCTCGAGCTCGTGCATGAAATCACGCTTAAGCCCTCCCTCGCCTTCCACGTGGCCGCCTGTTGCTCCTCCTCCTGCAGGCGGTGAAAATAGACATGTGGCGATCAGAAGGTGGATCTGCTGGTTTTGCTCCGTCTGCGAAGTCGTCGAAGACGAAGGATGAATGCTGAGAAGGGTGAAAAATTTTGCCAAGCTAAACGACATGTGGACAACATGTGTCGACAAACAGACAAACCTTCATTCCATGCTGTGTGTAGACAAGCAGCTTCTAAGGCGAACCTACACAATTGGGATTCCAAAAACCCAAGCGGTGCACCCGGGCGACCGCAATAAAAACCTTTAGCCGAAAGGCTTCGTTTGCACACATTTTCCATCCCTGTCCTGCAAGCCTTTCTTGCAGCTAAGGACTAAGGAGAAGTCGACCTGATTCGTTCCCTCTGCTAGCCAGGAATCTTCACAAAGTGAGCGTCTTACTGGAAACCATGATCGAAACCATCCCATTCCTCATCTGAAGGTCCCCATCATACTACACCACAGAGCGCCTCTGCAAAGGGGGAGCGAAACAGGGCGTGGCCACTGGTCGCCCCGCTGTTCCCCCGGTCCTTCGACTGAGCAAGGGGCACACCTTGATCTTCCTTGGGGTTCACCCCATGATCAAAGCCCAGCAGCCGAATCCTCAGCAACCCAAGCTCCACGACCGCCGGCGACCGCCGGCGATCGCTGGCATCATCAGTCGGATCATCCTTCAAAAGGAAAACATGTGTTTGACTGTGCCACTCCACAGTTGGGTAGTTTGAGTAGATTACCATGAGTCATTGGGCAATGCCGTATGATTCCCACCTGCAGGATATTGACTATCACTGCGTGCATGGAGCAGTTGGGAAGTTTTAGCATTGGGTGTACATCTGTCTGTCAACATGTGGATGAATATCATCATCCAAAAAAGATAGAGGGCAAATATGGCACAGTGCAAATACATGCAAAAAATGTACTTGATTCCTTGATGTACGTAATCCAGGCCAAGTTGTGGCAACGTCCACCCATCATGGCATAAACAGTTTGTGTTTCTTGTGGTTCCACCTGCCGTCACCCCTCCCCACCTCCTCAAATCATGGGAA